CGCGGGGCGGCCGTTACCGGCTGCTGGGCAGAGGAGCGGCCGCAGCGGCCGGCAATGGGTCAGGGCCGGGCCGGGCAAGGGCGCCCGGGGAGGGAGGTGAAGGAGGTAGGCGCTGCCCCTCAGACCGGAGAAGAGACACCGCTCCGGCTGCGGGCTGTCCCCGGGCAACGGTAGTTTCTCGGGAGAGAGCGGCGCAGGAGAAAGCGTGACTGAATACCGGACTTCTCCCTCACCCGGGAACATATAACCGCCCTAAAGTGAGCGGCTGGCTAGGTGGCAGGTGCGAGTAAACCTGCTTGCGTGCAAACCGGGCGCAGAGCCCGCGGCGTTACGGTGCCCGGGGTGGGGTCCGGGAAGGGCCCGGTCCCCCGGTCCTCAGGGGGGGGGCCAGCCGCTGGTGGGGCAGGGGGCAGGGCATACCGGTGCAGAGGGCGAGGTGCTACAGAGCTGAGGGGGGTTTGTAGGCGTTCTGGTGTTTTGCCCAAAGGCTGCGATGGCACGGAGATGGGGGGGGGGGGGGGAAAAGAAAAGGCTGTTATGGATGAAATACATTTGGGTTATAGGAGAACGTGGAGTAAGAGAGAAAATGATCAACAGGAGAACTTTAGTAAGGGGAGAGGGGCTGACTAATCTACCGGGAATTAGTTTAAGACTCGCTGATAAATATCAGATAAGGAGTGCTGAAGGATGAATGTGATGGCAATGGCCAGGAGCCTTCAGGACAATAACAAACATTTTTAAAGATACTAAAAAGAGTAGACACGGAGACATGAGTCTCAGCTGCTTCTGCAAAAGCTCTTGGTATTAGGCTGTGATTAAAGAAACTAAAGCAGTGCTTAAACATATAAAAAGGAAGAGAATGCCAGAAAGAAGCATCCCTTCCTCAGACCCCTCCTAGCTACCACCTCTAGAAACCCGGTACCACCACTTCACCGGTTCCTCTGGCAGCTGCAAGAGCTTCTGCTGCCATTTGGTTGTCTGCATTTGCCCTTCTGGCCCTCCTTTTGCTGTAGAAGTGATACCCAAAACAAGAAGGATCTTTCCTTGATAAACATGCTGCTCGCCAAATGTGATTTTCAATTCCAAACAGTCAAAGAAGGATATACAAAATGGCTATAAAAATAATCCAGGGCTTGAAAGTAAGCCTTAAGATGGAAGGCTTAGAAATTTTGGTCTTTTCAGTTTGTCATGGAGAAGAAGAGCAAAAGTTGATTTTATTGTCTAGTGTAGGCTCCTAGATGTGAAAAGGAAGTTTTTGGGAACAAGGATTACGCTTCACAGAGAAGCTCCAAGGGGTGATATGCTGAAACGAAGCTAGATCTTGAATTAAGATGGAGTTTCCAATTACTAAGGCGATTTAAGTGTTTTTAAAGCTTACCAGCAAGGGTGATGAATTTTCTGTTACTTTGACTTGCTTAAAGGAGCTTTCTAGAAAAGCTTTAATCCAGGTCTAGGGTGAGATCCTGCAGACCACCTATTCAAGTGAGAGCAGATCCCAGCTGTCTGCCCGTGAGCCTATGTGCAGGGTATCTCCAGTCCAGCCATTTGCTCTTCATGCCAACAGTGACCTATATAGAGGCCATTTATTCGTGACTCCTCAATGAAAATTGAATGCTCTACAGCCTGAAGCCGCACCGAATACATTCTCCCCTTTAGAGTAACCCTTAGAGGATCGGGTCTTGGGCAATTGCAGACCATTCGTTTCCAGGATCTGGCAAAGGCACTAGAGGGTGCTGTGCCGAAAGAGAAGAATTGGGGTTTGTGTCTGTTGGAAAACTCTTCCCGAGCTCTGCATGGTGAAGAACCACTGCCTCCCTCTTCTTTCCTCCGAGATGGTGTAGGCCTCTTCCTGCTGTAACAGCTTTGTGCCATTTTCCGTAAGGAGGGGATCAACAGATGCTGGTTTCCTTGAGTGGTACACAAACTGACATAAGGAGCATAGAGACAGAGAGTGCAACCTGATGTATAAATATTAAGTACAGATTACCTTGACGTTAAAATTGTAAAAAAGATTGGTTCAACGTTATCAAGTGCATCTTTTTTCTTAGCGAAGACGAGCCCTGAGGGAACCCTGGGCTGGGTCGCGGGGGGCACGGGGACAGCGGAACTGCCTGCCCCGGCTGCGTCTCTGTGGCCTTTTGCCGGGCCGCCAGAGCACGGCTGCTTCCCATCCTCGTCTGGCCGGACGCGAGCCAGCTCGGATCCAAAAGCTGGGGCTGTGGCGTTAGCACAACACTGCGTGCAGGCCAGTAGGCCTGGCAGAACGCGTGAATGGTGCTGAAAGGTGGGGCAGAGCGAGTCCAGATCTGTTTGCCAAAGGCTTTTACTCTGTGAAGTCTCCCGTAGCTCAGTTCTGAGGAGCACAAGTAGTGAGCGTGCCCTCAGACGGTACAAGCAGGTGCTGCGATACAGCGAAAGGCGTGGGGAAGCAAGGCAAGCCCTTTGCCAGGCGTGCTTCAGGCACCTTTGTGATGCTTGCAATAGAACAAAGAAGGTAGTCTCCATTTTAAATAATCAGTCTCAGGAATTAAAATACTGCATTTACACTTCCTGTTTCTTTAAAAGGGAAGATGTGTTATCCAATATATTAACAGGTGATTTATTCACCTACATTTGATTTTCTATGGGAAACATAATGTTCTTGGGAACTTTTCTATGTGTCTTCAGGCTTTAAACATTTTAATGACCCTGCATTAACAGCACAAGTAGTATCAAATCACACTCCTCTCTTACAGCTAATTGCCATGCATATTAAACTCAAAATAAGCCTAGTTTTAAGTGCTTTAGATCTGACTTTCCAGTGTCCTGATATGTTCCAGTGCTTTACACGTTTAAAGTGAAGTTCTTTTTCGTGATAAAGGTAAGTGTTCCACTTTCCTGCACTGCAAACCTTGGCTGTCTCCAAATGAGCTCCCAGAAAACGAGGAACAGAAACCGGATACTCGACCAAAGCTCTGGCGTGCGCGGGGCTGAGCGAGGCCCGGGGGGGTCACCGTGGTGCCCTGGGCAGCAGCGGCTCCTAGAGCCAACGCGGGGGCCCGGGGCTCGGCACAGCCCAGGCACTCCCGGCCTGAAAGCCACTGCTACATGCGGTCCCTGTCTCACAGCAACTACAGGCTGAAAGACGCGGTGTCAATAAGGTGTGACTTCTAATAGTAGATGATATAGAAAATGTAATGGCATGGTAAACAGCAATCCAGGAGATGTTTAAAGTAACCCACTGTCTTCCCCATTTCAGTGTTACCTGTTCCATTTCAGTAGTTTTCAGGCTTTTTGCACTCTGGGTCACTATGAATGTACATCTGGGGAAGGAAAAGGAATAAAACTCCATTTGCATTTTTTATGTTTGTAACTAGTACGTGAATAATTCCCAGTGGAGTTCAGCAGCTGAGGGGGAAGCTCAGCACCTGCTGCACGATTGCTGACTTGCTTCTGGCTACAGCCTCCATAGCTGCTGCTCATCCTGCTTGTGGGAGAGGCCGTATCCTTTCCTGATTACCCAGGCTGTTTTGCTACAGTTAGCTACTCTTATCACTTTCTTTTCCTGTTTCCTTCAGCAGACTTGAAGAGGGAATGAAAAAGAGCAGATTTGGCATTCTACTAATGTTAATGAGCTTTCAACCTAACACAGTAATAGAAAACTGAAAAAAGGTGGAGGCAAATCCACAAAAAATGATCAGGTAAGAATCTAGACTTCCCCATTTCTCAAATTGTGTGTAAAACTACAGCTTCACTGACAGGAACGAAGGCAGGCTGATTTACGTTAGCTCTTCATAGCTTACACATTCACATCTCTTGGCAAAATAAGATGGCAGGAGCCAGAAAAAGTGGAGCTGTAGTGAACATAGTAGCCCACTGATGATTTTTTTCTGGATGGTAAAGCTGATGCTTGCTAGAAATTTAATAACAATTTATTTTTTTTTCCTGAAATGTCTGTTTGCACAGTTGAGATTGTAGGCATTACTTTTCCTAGCAGGAGAAACCTTTGGCTGAATTTGTTATTCAAAGTACAGCCATTCCTGTAGATCGGCACCTTGCTTACAGTCAACAAGTGCCAACATCAGTACACTGGAGCACACAAACTGTAATTTGCATGTCTAGACTTTATTATTACAGCATTTCAGTTGCAACTTATCCCAGACATACCAGTCAATGTAATTTTACACTTCATTATGTCTGCTGCTTCTTTCCCAAGCAAAATCAGCATTTAAAAAGAATTGCAGAATTTCAGCATTGCTAAAAAGCTATGGAAATGATAGTATGTGCCAATCTGTAGAGTAAAGCCATTTTTTCCACAATCCTTCCCTCTTTCCACTAGTCATTATCTATTCATAACAAGTTTTATGCTATTTTTCAGATTCATAAAATATGAACAAGATAGATACAATTTTTTTTTTTTTTTTTGATTAAGAAATTATTCAGGCAAGAGTTCTTGAGCCTGCAGAGGTAGCCAGTTAAGGAAAGTGGGAAAGCAGTCCAAAACCTAATCTGGGTCTGGAGAATGACCTGACCATAGGCCTTTTCTATTGCTCTAAATTTCCTATAATAATGTATGCATTTAAGTAAGAAACGTTTAATCATTGTGCTCTATTATTTCCCCTCTCGGTATGTGATAGGAGATTAAAGCAGGTCGTAATTATCCCTTGTATTGCTTTGCAAGCTAACAGTCAACGTGACTGGTGATCTGGAAGGTAGTCTTTAGCACGCTCCATCCATTGCTGACGTTTCAGTAGTTGGACTTGGTGATCTTAAAGGTTTTTTCCAACCTAAACGATTCTATGATTCTGATGCAGCAAGCTCAACACAGAGGAACTTCCTGACATTACATCATCACCTACTTCTATTTATCTGTTCTTCCCAGCTCTGGGACCTCGAAAGGACAATGATCATTCACACGTAATTTGTCCTCACTACTCCATTGTTCTGCAGGCCTTGGTGGATTACCCAGGGAGATTTACGGACAGCTAGCTTATGGGATACACAGGCTGTTCCAAAGAGGGGGGAAAAAAACCCCAAAACAAAACCCAAACAACCCCACCAACAAAAAGCACCCCACATTTTTTGTCTTTTGAATAGGGTCGTGTCCCCCCCCCACCCGATAAGTGGGATTTCTGAAGGTCCAAACCTGCATCATGAAGGATGAAGCAATCACAAGGCAAGCTCAAAGTGGTGGTTGAATAATAAATATAAATTAGGCTACTACAGCAGGCCATGAGAATAAGGGAATGAAAAAAAAAAAATGC